CCGTCATACTGACGAGGTCCAGTCGTGGTGTTGAGCTAAGACGTATATGACTTAATGGACCGAAACGTCTTAACTCTACTTTCTTTCCCACAATTTTTCTTCTACTGTTTTTATCCTCTTTATATACACTTCCCTTATTTTGGCACCCCTCAACATGTATGCTACAAACGGCTTACTGATGATTCCCATTTCTACCCGCGCATACGTCTCTACCTTTGTTTATGGTTAACACATGGCGGCATAGCCACATTTCTTTGCTCTCCGGTGCAAAGAAACACAGCACATAAATGGGGCACTGGTACAAGTACGGCATAGCTGCAGTACATGTATGCTGAAGTTTCTATGGACTTCACCACGATTTGCTCGTTGGCGTTTTTGCTTTGCTTGGCTCTAGTATCTTGCCTTTTTTATTCGCTTTGTTTGTTTTTGGCGGCTTGCAAAAGTAATAGAAAATGAGGGAAATTAGTTTACTGACACCAAGTTCATACTTAAATCATATCTGCACCTTTGAGCAACCTTTGTTCCATCTCCCCGTTGTTTTTTTACCTTTCATACAGCTTACGGCTTTCGTATTCTCGCCAGTTTTGTGTTTAATGAACCAAACAGTAGTTTGGTGATGACTGATCAGCTTTTATTTCGTTGTTGCGCACCTTTTTGAACGGCACAGTTGACAGCATTTCTTGATTTTTGTAACTGTAGCTATCTGACTCAACTGTCAGCTTTCTGGCAATCTTGTTATTTAGATTAAGCAGTGAAACTAGAAAAATAACAGCAGCTAGGCCTTTTTTGTCAGTTCTGGAATTTTGATTGTTTTTTCGTGGAAATTATGTTTTTTCAAGTTTTATTTGCTTTTTCTGAGGGGAGGTTTTTTAAGCATCGTTTGTGTCTAGAACACTGTTTTCTTTTTAGCTCGCGGAACTTCCACTGGATGAACTGATTCGAAGGAAAGCAAACCTGGAGTCCGATATGGATGTTGAATTGAGGGAGTTACAGGCACGTTACCAAACCAAAAGACAGCCAATTTTGGATGCTATTGAAGCGAAGAAAGCAAAAACGGCAGCGCAGTTGTGATTTCTTGTCTATACTCAAAACACTCAGTCCATTCATCTTTGGCAGCCTTTCTGGTTTCTCATGCATATTTCTGTTGTGTTCTCTGTTATTTTCTGATTAATAAGCGTCATGCTGCTTCAGTAGTTTGCAACGCTTCCCTCTACACTTTCATACACTATGTCTATTCACGTGTATTTCACTGAATTGCAATAATCATCACGTACTGCTGCATAGAAAATTCCAGTCGCTTTACGGTTTCTTGATCCCGTTTTGGAACAAAATTTCGATGCTAATCTGCTAGCATTTT